TGATTTCCTTGGTTGCACTAATTGCGCTCTTGCTTAGGTCAGCGAGCTCTATCAGATCAGGTCAGTGTTCAGTGTTGATACAGTCCCCGGCCACCTGAGTCGATCGATCTAAATGCGGAACGAATACATCAAACAAGTTCAAACCATCTCAACCAAAAATGATGTTTCCTTTTTATTAAACGAGATCACGTTCATGCCGGAATGGCGTAATAAGAGAGAACGACGGGGGGACAGAGATAGTGCCAACAGAAACACCATTAGGGTGGGCTCTTCGTCATGTCAATGAGTGTATCCAACAGGAAGTGTTCTTCGCTTTGAGAACCTAACCCAGGAGTTGGAATGTCCCAGCCAAGGCAGTTCGAAACTAGAGCTCTGTTCTTTTTAGCAGACCATCGACTTGCCTCCCTTCTTCTCCTTCCAGCCAGACCCCAATGTGACAAACAAATCACTTCACCAGAGTCGGTGTGATCGTATGCATAATCATTGGATCAACCGTCGCAACTTGGTAGGTAAAATAGCAGTGTTGAGTTGTTCGCTTTCCCTTCCCATGTCATAAGCAGGGCGATAAACATGCCCATCACCATCGCGCGGTGTCCCCAACGGAATAGAAATGGACAACGAAGGCACCGGCAATAGAACACCATTACCTCTTTGAAACTCATCAATCTGAGTAGCATTGTTTCGCAACTGTACAGTATAGTTGAAGGGATAGCAGTACTGTAACCTATGCGCTTCAGAATGGGGTGATATGGCGCTGATATCAAAGCGTCCAAGATTAGCGAAGGTGATTGGTGCTTTTGTTACACTTTTCGTTAACTGCTCCTATTCCACCTGCGATGAGAACGTTGTCTTGGTAGCTGAATTTCTGATCAACCTCTAGTTGGTCTTTACCAAGGGTCAGCACAGGAGTGGTTCTTGCCAAGCTTTCAGGACGGTTTGGTATTTTTGAGCGTGCAAAACACAATCCGCAACTTAGGAGTAGGAGGATTTTCGTTGTAGTTTTAATCTTTTCCTCACAGCAGCTCACAAGTTTCATAGCTCAGCCACAAACCGGAAAAGCACCAGACGTGTTTCGCCCTATTAGGGCTCGTCAGTGGTGAGCATTCGCTCGGTCCCCTACTGAGGACCAAACGCATGACTGCTAGAGTCTGATGCTAACTAGCCATAAGCTTAAGCCACTGAGACATGGGGACGGCAGATGGGCTACAGAATTTGCAAGCTAACTGGGATATAGCATGACCTATCTTCCACTGCCTCACAGGTTACTACCCTTGCAGATGAGAGCGACTAACCTCCAAACCACAGCTTCTCTCACTAGAAGAGACGTCCATAGCATTTGAAACTAGGTGAGGCTGCCTTTTTATATTACTTATGAGTAAGAGGTTTTTAGTGGTAATTTGAATCTTTTCGTCCCAACATGTGAGCTGCTGAAACAAAAACAGTAAAATTACAACCCAAAACGGTTGACAGTCAGTGTTACTCTGTCTAACGCCGCTTTTCATGGTCGCGAGTCGGCACAGATTATGGCAAGATCGTTTCTATACTCCAACTTGATAAGTTGCATACAACTTAAATATAACTTCATCAATGGCGAAATTGAAAGGAAAAGGTAATAACGGGACTAATGTTTTTAAACGTTGGGGAGTATGAAGGGTAGGGACAGTTTTAATCAGAAGCTCTCACTCCGCCCGAGATATGCGTAAAAAGCACAATATTCCCAATTAGACGGTCCCATAGAGAATATTGATTCAGCGAATCTTAGCCCCCTTTCGATGTCAAAAGGCACATGAATGTTTGGTGATGTTCCGACAGCTGACGTTATTTGACGGCGCGGTTAGTGTAGTCTCTATTTCGACAAAAAGCCTAATGTGTCTAGATGATGCAAATTCCCCACTTTCATATAGGCGTTGAAGTTTCGTACGAGATATGGCATTTCGATCCATTTATGGGAGATTGAGCTACATTGTCAAGTAATTACGGTGTATTACATCCGCGTTTTTCCAGTTGTTGTACTCCGCTGCCGTTTGTGATTGCTTTGCTCTGAACATATCCAGACCAAGTGGTTTTGTTTGCCTGCATTTTACTTATCTGCATATACTAAAGTACATACATCATACATGTCCGCGCAATCATAATGGACATTTACAGTTTTGCAAAATCTCCGCATATTTCTCGGAAACTGCACCGAAAACACACGGATCTCAACATATGGCCACCTACAGTTTTGTTTTCTTCCTTTAGTAGTTAGAACTAACGTTCCTAAATGCATCTCGTTTATTGTGAAGACACAAACGAACTGATCTAGTGGATTATTTTTGTTCACTTTTCAAACTTATATAGCATTCCCCTCAAACTTGCATAAAATGTCCAAAATCTTTCAGGAAAAAGTACAAATCTACACATAAAACGTTCAAAAAATTTGCAAAGTATGTCCAAAATGTTGTAAAAACCTGTGCGCTTCGCCAGGCAATCCTCTAACCTCAAGTGTGCTCTCAGTAGCCGGGTGCTAAGGTTTGGTGCGTCAGTCAAGTGAATTGAGCGCGCTGCCTGTTGACTCGGTGAGACTTCTGAATGAACCTGGAGTCCGTGGACATTAGTTATTCCATGAGCTACTATGCGCCCCCCTGACTTCCGAAATGCTGAATCACAATTGGTCTGAGAGCAATGAATAGCCGGTGCATAAGCGTAAGACTGAATGGATGTCTTTCATTCCAGTGTGGTCAAAATGCCTTCTCTTGTTCGACAGAGTATCTCGTCAGACATTCGTGACCGAGTTGTGGATGCCTTCGTCAACCGTGACGACTGGCAGCTCCTGACAACCGTGAACAATGTGAAATATCGAACTACCTACTGCTGCATTCGTCGATCTCTTGATCAGAAAACGGATACTACGCAGGCGCGCGGTTATAAGCGCATTCTGTCGGAGGAAGAGATTGGTGACATCCTGGAGTGGGTCGCGAAAGAAGCAACTCTGACATTACGCGAAATACGAGTCCGAGTATGTGACGATAGGGATAAGAACATTTCAACGTCTACAGTCGCACGATAGCTGGATGGTCATTTGATAACCATGAAGAACACTTTCAGACTCCAGAAGGAATGAACAATGATCGAACCAAAGCGATACGAAAGGAGTTTGTTCAAAAGTTTCTCCAACTTGAAAGTGATAGGAAGTTCTTTGTATGGATTGAGGAAGCAAACTTCAACGTTTACTGCAAGCATATTCGTGGTCAGGCGCCCAGAGGAGTGTGGGCCTGTGTCAAAGTAGCCAACAGTAGAGGCCTGAATTTGCATCTCATCGATGCACTCACAATGGATGGAAACGTTTTGATGACTACTCGAAAGGCACATTCACTGGCTCCCTATCTCTCGAATAGTTGCGACGCATTTTCTACAAGCTGAAACAGGAAATGTAGTGCCAGCAGTTAGTTGTAGTGTATAACAATGCACATTCATACACGTTTGGAAGCAATTGCCTCAGCCGAAGGATAGAAGGGCTCCCCATTCTGAGATTGAGCCCATGCTCCCCGTTCCTCAATCCCATCGAAAATATTTAGCAGAGGGTGCAGGCCCGGCTGAAGAATGAAATGCCAATGCAGTACGGTGAACTGCTGGCCGGAGGTCCCCAGGACCTCATGACGCAAATGGAATGGAGGTTGCACTTTCTGGAACGCATGGCCGGAACAGCAACCCGTTCGATCATTGTTGTGGGATGTCATAATGCCAATCGACACATCCGTGTACATTTTCCTGATTGTTTGCAAAAAAAATACCGTACTTTGACTACAGTTCCGACTCGTCACTAGACATGTGATACTATAACATATAGTACACACGTCTGCTTTAATGATCAGTCGTTTCTTAGCCTGTTGTCTTAGAAATAGCGGGAAGCTTTAAGGCAGCACTAACATGAACGGAATTAAAAGAATGATACTGTGGGGTAGGTACCTGGTAGCTAAAATTCTGTCCTTGCCAGAAGCATAGGAGAGAATCCCGTGTTGGGAGGGTCAAAGCGTTATTTATCTGCTGGCTACTTTTTGCTTTTCCGTGGAGGAAACAAAGTACTTATACTGTTCCATTTTACAAAGTACATACGGTGATATCTCAGCCGGCGTCCATTAGGACTCTCTTACATGCATCCTCACATTCGTAGTTACCGTTCGCGTTTGTTCTCTTTGCTACATTCACCTCGTACTGATTTCATAAGACAAAATTCTTGCTCCAGAGGAGAAAATGCACCCATAAAACAAATTGGATTGACTTCAACGTTTTACTGAACTAGAAGATCTCGACCGGTTTCAAGTATGCCTCAAGATGGCAAAAACAACGAACTGCAATCTAGGTACCGCTTGTGAGACGTAGAAGGTCCATGAGTGACCAGTTACTTTATCATGGGTATCAGTCCTTTGAATTACCTGGCTTTCATCTTTGCTAGCAGTACGTACTCACAGGCGTAACTTTAAGCAAGAAAATTCAGTGCACGGTTAAGTTTATCACTGCTTCATAATAACGCTTCGTGAAATTTGTCTGGTTGTGCAGTTCACTAGCTCGTTGTAGCACACTGCACCAAATAATGGGAAAGAAGTAACTGATAAAAGCAAAATCCTGTTAACAACTGACAGATTTCTTTCAACATGCCTTCACTGAATAAGCGTGGCTTGCAAACTTCAGATGGAAAGCACTTTCTCACGCTCAACCTCAACATATACGTGCTGACAGTATTCCCTATACAATGGTTAGCCAGCATATACCCAGTGATAGAAAAAGTGGAATGCTTATTTCTGCATAATACTGCACATCGATCAATTCTACTAAAGGGGTTTTAACATATACCAAAACACGCAATGAGCTGTTCCATTGGGTTCATGAGTAGCCTCACTTAATACCCTTGAGCTAGATCGGTTCAAAAGGTGTGCAGTGACCATATGGTGTTTTAATCATGCGTTTGCCCACAACGTGACCTAAAACTAACTGTCCTTTTGCCGTTGTCCTCGATTTAGAACCCCAAGTTGACAAAGCGCCCAAATTAACAAGTAAAGAAATCGGTATCTTAACCAACACCAAGGAAGCACCCCAAGTGATCAAACTACATCCACGAGCGGCGACTGGGATTGGTTTTCCAGAGCAACAGAGGTCTTGCGAATCACCCTGCGAAGAGACTGCTAAGAATGACTTAAAGGGTGAACTCTTATTTAATGACCGCCTAGTTGATAATTTAAATCCTATCATGGGCTCACATGAGGGATTGGAAGTAATGAACAAAAACCCAAGAGTAAAAATTCAGGAAATTATTAGGAACCTACTAGCGCGAAGAAAAGAAGAACAGGTGGAGCGACATGGTCATGTAGAGGACGAAATAGTTGATGTGGCACCAGATACAATAAACGCAATTATTCCGATTTCTTCATCGGTCAACTCTTGCAACTTCTCCGTAGAGAATGAACCAAGTAACAAATGTGAAGTTGGACCACAGAATTTCTCAACATTGTGTTCCCAAACCAGTGTTCAGCTACACGCACCACCCAGCGAGGATGGTGTTCGTCACCGTAAGCTAACCATGTGCATGAGGCAGTTGGAACATGCCACTACTTCAAAAACCATTAAACATAAAAGTACCGCAGTGGGAAATAATGGTCCTCACCCAGTTTCGACGGTGCCACCAAGAGCCGAACTATCTAGGTGTGCAGCGGAAATCTCTAGTGGTGATGGTGTATTGTGTGACGTTTTCAGCGGTGATGGGCTTGCTCAAAGGAACAAGCAAACCATACCGGGACAACTGCTGGACGACCATGCGGGAAGGTCTTCTACCGACACAGATCAATCAGTGAAGCCGAAGCCGCTACCGCGCAAAAGAAAAAGCGTCGCTACACAGCTCACTGAAGAAACCCTCCATGGATTACTGCAGCGTCGCCGTTCTACCACCACAATCTTCGGACTAAACAAACAAGTTGATCACTCGGTCTTGACGAAAACTCCCTTATTTGAGCCTGGAGCTGTCGAATCAAGGCATGGATTAATCTGGAACGAAAGGGAAACACAATTACTGGGCCGACCTGCCAGTGAATATCCCGTCAGCTTGGCCATCTGCAATCAGCCAATGAAGCCTAGTAGCTGTACTCGAAAAGTCCCAGCCCATGTGGATTGGCCACTTGCCAAAACGGGCTCAGCAAAAGTAGCGTTGCATGGACATGACCATCCGCGTCCCCGGACTCAGTGTACTGCACTCACTCCGATGCATGGCACACCCAGCGTGATTCAAACAGATGGAGAACGTTGGAGTAAACGCAGTCAAAATGGAGTGAGTTTCGATTTTGAAGCTAAAACTGTAAGCATTTTGTTGTCCAGTAGACAGTAACAATGCAGTTGGAAGTGACCAAGGCTACGGGTTCCAAAGGTTTATAGCGCCTCTCGTACCAAATGGGTAGAGATCATGTAAGTACAGTCGATTGAAACCAGCCGGTACATATGAGATATGTACTCGTTTAACACATTTTTACGCTATCATGAGTCTTTTAACGATGCTTCATTGGCAAGTTTCGACGCTTTCCCTGGAGCAGCTAAATCGAGTAGTGTATTTCAAGCAGGTCAACTTCTCAACTAGCAATTTGGATGAGTTGCGATTACCTGTCGGGAACGGCTGATGTCTGAGCAAATTGGGGGTATTATTTTATCATGAACCTACCGGGTTCGAAACATTTAATGCTACTACACATGATAGGATGAGGAAGTTGGAAGACTGACTGCGGCCGTCTGTACGATGCTTGGAGGGTCAGATATTCAACAAAAATACCTTTATGATGTCAAACAGTTATAAGCTATGCACCTTACTAGTTTCATGGATTAAAAAGAAAGGAGCGTGTGTAGCGTCCTCATAACGACCACCACCTATTACAGTCACAACTTCATCCACTGATACTTCAATGTGCACACACATAGCAGGAATGTACTTCGCATCATAAAGCCTAACTCAGCGGCTTGCCTTATGTACACCACTCTGCTGTACCTCTATGTACCTCTATAGATCTACTGGAGATTCACGTGTACGTTACGCTACTGGTGCATTCTGCGTACCGTTGTAAGTGGATACTACAGGTTGCCGGTTAAGGATGCCCTTAAATCGTCCTTGAACTTTTGCGGACACAGTGTATGTCCAGATCCTAGAATGTACGATTTGTATGTCCGCTCCAAATGACATCGTTTGGAATTGATTTGACTTTAACTCATATCATTTAATCAATTGAGGAATCCACACCTCTGTTTTGTGCGGGAGGTTATCGTTTTCAAGTTCATGTGGAGCACTATCAAAGCCAGAAAATAACAAAGGTTTTCAACTTTAACTTCTCTGAGCATCGCTGGGTGGTATTTGTTTTAAAAGCATAGTTGAGCTGATTGAAAACAGGTTATTATACATAATCAAACTTTCCCTTTAAGATCAGTGATAAAGATGTTGGGAGGCATAAACTCTTTCGGGGCAAACTTGCATCCGTTAACGATGCATAGATCCACAAAATATCGGTTTCAACCCCCGGAAAAGTCAGATGTTTGGAATATTTGTTAACGGCTTTACTCGTGATATCACCGTCAGCGTTTTTGTGTAGTAGTAGTAGTAGTAGTAGTAGTAGTAGTAGTAGTAGTAACCACACCAATCCTCCAACTAAACACTTTCACCGTGCTAAGGATTAGATCAAGTGACATAGCGTCAATGTTAAAAGCTGTGAGCAGTGTGAATTTATTTAAGATCCTCAGTTGCGTCCATATTTGACATTCAGTGTATGTGACTGTCCTAAGTACATATTTCATCATTGTTTGTGGCGGCGGTCATGAGCACGTCCAAATTTTGTAATCATCCAGTATTTTTGTAGGATGAAATTGAATCAAGTTTGGCCACATGGACAACATAGGTCGAATCCTGCTGAATAAGCCATGGTATACAGTAGCTGTACTTCGTTTGCGACAGTACCTTGTGCGCGGTTGCATTCTTTCTGTCCTCGTGCCTCACCAGAATTTTCTCTCCCAATTCTTATCACGCACGCGTACCTACAGTCATTGGGATTGTGTTGACGAGCAGTATTTACTGCACTCCATGTTCTAGATCTAATCTATGTGAATCATACGCCAGTTTACATAGGGGTTGTTGCACACTTAGTCCCGAAACACGAGCAATCGTTTCTAACCACTGAGCCGTACGAGATCAAAAGCTGACAATTTTCCAACGGTCTTAAAGCCACGTTTGGTGACCGCAACTAAAAAAGGATCGAGTACTTTGTGTCCTTTTTAGTTTGGTAGCCTTGCGGGCTATAAACCTCACAGTCCCTTTCGAGCGGTCGGCAGAACTTCTTCACGTGCATTATAACGACCAAAATCCTGTGGCACAATGCATCGTGTTAGATGCAGCGACCTCAGAACCTGCAGACTACACGACAGAGAGCCATGCGAACCAACTTTGAACCGGAGTCAGACATTCTCCTACTGACTGGAGAGGTACCAGCGTACAGGTTAATACTGAAAAGATAGCTTTCCAGAGTCCGCCCATGACGTGCCCTTCTGACTCCCGCCCAATTCCTTGTAAATGGTTTTTCTCTCTATCCTGATTTCGCAGCCGCTATCAACACTTTGGCCTTAAATCATTCCCTCGCACCAACCTTTGGAATCTGGTACAGATTTCACCCATACTTCTTATTCTAAAGCTAAAGGTGGGAGGTTTTCCGATCCACGATAACCAAATTGCTATTGTCTTAGCATTCTGTTCCGTAATCGATGGTGCAGTGAAACGACCGGCGCTATATCGAGCTGTAGTAGAACCGTAGCGGTCGGTAGCAGCGTTCTCATTTTGCGAATGATTAGTCGTTGCACCGAATTTGTTCCGATTTCGTTAGATGGCGTGTCTCTTCGCACTAGCAGCCTTATATAGGGATGGTCTTCGCAACCAGAATGTACCTTAACGTTACGTGACGGATTGCGTACCTCGTCAACCCGTTGAGCTATAATGCGTAGGGCCATTGGGCCCCTTAAGAGCCACTCCCACCAGTTTGGTCAATGGTCAGAGGTCAGACGAACTCAGTTTACTTGTCCTCCAGGTCAGGAGTTTGAAATGGAATAGCGTCCATTTATGTAAAACCGAATCGGTGAAACGTCCACTGCCCTGTGGCCAAGCTTTTGATCTAAAGGCGCTCGTTGAGGAATCTAATCGTTCTCCTGTCTAGGTCTTGGCACCCTGACAGTATTCAGCCTACGTATAACTATGGTTATTTCTTCAAACTTTAAGCATATCCTGCATCGACCGTCGCGCTAAATGTCAAGGGTCTCCTTATCTGCTGCATGCAGCAGGGCGGACAAGCGAACACATGTTACTGCTGGCGCCACCCTTCTTTCCTCTCCACCTATTCCTCTTATTCCCCTCACAGTCCACATTACTAGCCTACTTTCTATACTTCGCAGTTTAATTGACAGCCCCCTAAACGTCGCTGGTGTCATACCAACTGCAGCTATCTTCCCGCAGCACCCACTGGACACCACTCACCAACAGCTCCTTATAAGGCCATACTGTCCCGTTTCGCTGGAAGCGTTCTACGTTCGCACTCAAAAATAAGTAGATCGATAGACTGCATTCGCACACTGGTCATACTAGAATGTTGACGTGTGTTGTGTCCAAGATTAGCATCAATGACCCTCAGGGGATTGTTGAATTGACTGTGTCCGGCTTGTCCTCTCGCTATTAGTTGCACGCATCCAAAGACGCTGATGCGGAAACCACTGGTCAAGCTGGAGTGGGCAATGTTCTCAGCTCCAAGGCTGAGTCATCGTTGGTCGACTGGACTACCTTGAGAAGCCGTTTGTGCGCAGTTCGTTCGACGACATCAACTAAGACTGATTCATGAAAGATTACTGGACGCTATTTGTTTGTCCTTTCCGCTTATACCTCCACGAATATTTTTCTGATGCTACCAACGACTCCTTCTTTCAATATCTACACATGCTGCTTCGCAAGTTAACGAGTTCAGGTTCTCTTGCATGGGATATGGATCTTCCACTAGGTTGTCTGGACTCTTCAAAAGCTGATCTAAGTGATAGGTCTGGATTTAACTTTGATCGGACGGACAGCAGCGCATATCGACTACTACTGTGCGAGGAGCAGTAGCTGTTACTTAGTAGGACCACTTTTATGCCCCGTGTGCACCGAAGTGTCACTTGGCTTCCCTCAAAACTGGCCAGAGATGGACCTAAGTAGAACACTTTGCCATAATTTACAGGTGGCTTAGTTCCATCATAGATTGTTTCTCTTTCTGAAATACTTGCGTCGAAACTGATGATGGCTTGCTACGTCTTTGTTTCTCCATGAACTTTGCCACAAGGCATACTAAACGTTTCCCCCGATTGGCAACTAGGAACCTTTCTCTCTCCTTTGTCAGACAAGTGTACCAGGGTACCCTACATCCCAAACTTTCATTCTCAGGTCCTAACTACAATGAAATTCATACACATAGAATCTCGGCCTCCGTGTACGACACGAGAGCCACTGCTTGCAGTGCTATCACTCGTCTCTGCACCAGTCACTGGATATCCGAGAGATCGCTGAATCTGTTAGGATCCAGAAGAAGACTACTGGCTGGCTCTGAGCACAATGTAACCAGACGGACTATCACGCGTGGACTAAAGCGGTGCCTGCGTGCTGCTTGGTGTGGCTCAAGAAAGAGAGGAAGCAGGAGTAGTAGGCTATTATTATAAGCTCTGCCAACTGATCCGCTCCACCGTTTGCAGGCACCAGGCCTCAGTGATACGATTAAGACATCACGGGCGCCGTCTGCCTGTTTTGCGCGGAGCACTTTCGGAAGCAGTTCAGATGGTCCCCTGTTCTTGGGTCAATTTCTGCCCAGGTGGCGCAGGCTGAGCCATTGCATGTTAGTTTGAAAGCTCTATCGGATTCAATTGGTCATTTGTTCTCTGCACTTGGCGGTTTGGTCGCAAACGTTTCACCACAATGCGAGGTGGCATCTTCAGTGCAGTGAGATGCGATGTGCAATCTTACTGAATGAATCATCCATCCGTAATCGACCTGCAGGTGAACTGGACTGGACTGGCAGGTGACTTTTGAGAGTGGCAGTGTTGATTTGCGTCCTGTGACCTCTACCTACATTCCCCAAGACTAAAGTAGACGCCCAAATGCTGCCTTAAACTGCGTGACAAAATATTATTTATTTATTTCTGTCGAAGTGGTTCGAATATTGAATCGATATTGACGCGCATCATCTCATCTTGGCACACAAACCAACTGCCATGTTGCGAAAAACGCTTTCAAAA